ATTGTGATAAGTTATCACTGATAATCAGCCGTATCAATCAATAACAACAACAAACAGCATGTATACGTTAAGCATAAGAACTATACTAGTATTACTGTAAGTTATTAATTTATTATGAAACCTTAACGTAACATTAACAAATTACTATTACGATCACTTTTTATTTTATATACATAAGAATATTAATGCATGTCAACTCATACGAGTGATAGTGAGTGTAGCAATTCTGATTCAACTGAGTTAGATCCTGATTTCGTCCCCCACCGAACGGTTGTACCCGATAATCCGTCTAATAAACCATTAACTAGGTTACAAAATAAAACAAATATAAATACAAATCTAAATCTTCTTGATAAAATATCATTAATAGACTTAAACGATAAAAACACTATTTTAAAACCAACGAACATAATGGCGAATAATAAACAAACATTACTTTCTTTAGAAACAGCTATAAGACTCGTACCCCAGTTTAATGGAGAAAATCCACAGGATGTATATCCATTCTTTAGTGCATGTGACTTTGTGATTAAGACTGTAGATGAAGAATGTCGCCCTATTCTTTTGCAGGCAATTTTAACAAAATTAGCAGGTAAAGCTTTTGCGATAACACAACATCGAGAAGTCAAATCATGGGACTCACTTAGGGAGTTATTATCAGTTACATTTTGCGCTAAACGAACTCCAGGTTACCTTCAACAAGAATTGTCCACAACCCGATTTAAATCAGGAGAAACTATTCAAGAATATTCTTCAAGAGTCGAGAAATTATTACATGAGCTGTGTAATGTCAGTACAAGCAAAAGAACAATAGCAGAAGCTAAAGCAGTGCACGATTATATCAAAGAAACTACTTTAACTACTTATATTGAAGGATTACCAGATAGCATCCGAAATATCATAAAATCTAGAAACCCATCCACTTTGGAAGACGCTATGAAAGTAAGCTTAGAAGAAGAAAAAATATTTTTATCAAATAAAGAAACACGACGTTTGTTCCAAAATAAATCTAACGCTAATAGCACAAACAAATATTGCAAAAACTGCCAAAAAAGTAATCATAATACGAATGAGTGTAGATATGTAAATCGTAGCATAGACACAGGGCAAAACAGCAAACAAAAAACTCAAATACAAAGCAAGAGACATGCGCATATTGTAAAAAAGCTGGTCATTCCATAGAAAAATGCTATAAAAAAAAAGGAGCGGATGAAAGAAAAAAATAATCAACAAGAAGGTGATAAAGGAAATCAACAAAATTATTCGGGAAACGGATCGGGACCGAATGCCTCGGGCAGTCGTTCGGTCAAAGATTTAAAAATAATAGCCCAAACACAATAAGAACCTTACCATTTACAATAAAATTACATAACGACCATGCAATATTTCAAGCCTCACAATGTACGTCAGGAAGTGCAAAACTCCTAATAGATACCGGCGCAAAACTAAACCTTATCCGACTTGACGTATTGCACGACGAAGTTCTAGTTTCGGATACTAATATTTATCAGTTACAAGGAATAAACGACCGCTTAGTCAGCACTATGGGTAGTGTTGTACTTATAATTTCAGATAAGAACCAAACTTTTGAAACCGAATTTCATGTGGTACCATCGTCATTTCCAATTGACGGGGATGGAATTTTGGGTAAACCTTTTCTAAAGGAAAACAAAATCATCATCAACGTAGATCAGGAGGAAATAACTTATCCTGACAATGCCACAACAACCATACCAGCCAGAAGCGAAGCGATAATTCCTATACGAATATTAAACGAACCTACAACTGATTCACAAAATATTCTTATTCATGCCCAAAATATTAATGAACATATAATCTGTGGAAATGGTTTAAACGAAATAAAACAAAATCAAATACTCATTTCTGTATTAAATCCAACAGAAAACCCACAAACTGTGAAAATTTCAAATCTAAACGAATAGAAAAAATATAAAATATAAATAAATAAATAAAATTATTAATAAAATAATTTCTTAAAGTTAAACAGATTTTGTGTAGTGTTTTGAATACAACCCGTAAGTGAACGAACTCTTTTACAACATACATATACCTTTTGGCTTTAACCGAAAGAGTATAATCATATAATCATATAATAAATAAATAAATTTACAATATAAAATCAATACTCTTTAAGACATACGTGTAAGTACTTGTCATCTCTTAATAAAATAAATAAAAATATTATTTAAATGTAAGAATGGTCAAACTTAGAATTGCTTACGTTAATTACTTCGTCAGTACCATCTTTTAAAGATTTTTTAATAATTGATTCTTCGGCAGAAGACGTTGTTGTTTCCAGTATTTTTTTTTTTTTTTTGTGCATAAAACGTGCTTGTGGTTCTATTTTTCTTTTTTAAATTTGTCTGTGTATTTTTAAAACTCATGTTTTGGTTTTTAGCAAATATATCAAGTATTTTGTCACATTGTCGTAAAACATTATTCTGGTCTTCATTATTTAAATTTGTTCGATTGCACATTCCAAGTATCATCTCTATTTTATTTTTTATTTGACAATTAAAATCTTGAGTGTTATTTTTAGTATTTGTAATATTTATTAATCCATGATCTATCACTAATTTGTCACTAACTGGTGTCATTACAGGAACTTTTGATTCATAGTTTAATATTTGAGTTGGTTCACTTGCTGTAACGCATGCGTGAATGTGTTTACAAATGTTATAGTTAATTACATTATTTAAGCAAGTACATTTGTAAGAATGTATACAAATATGACACTTATCACAGCGTAAAACACATTCAAAACTACATGATTTGTAAGTCTTTTCTACTTTATATTGAAGTTAAACTTCTTTACGCAGGGTAGTGAGGAAAAAAAAAGTGAAAGGGCGGCCGTACGAACGCAAACGCGTACATGTCGTTGTGCGCAGCCGCGGATTGTCGTAGCTGTATTTTGTAAACGGCTATGGGTTTTGTCATTAAGCGACAGTATTTTTAGTTGGGTTATTAAACAAAGAATACTCAACAATAATATTAATGAGATAAATATTTAGATAAAAACGGAATGATCGTCCGAGATGATTTCATACGGTCGTCGGGGCGGCGGTGCGAAGCGTATCAGTACGTCATATACATAATATCACATAATAATAATAATATTACGTATTATAAATTATAATGTTGGATGGTGACAGCTGATGCGGTTTCGACGACGACGACGACGACGATGATAATAATACCATACACGTGCAGTTGCGACTTGCGATTAAAGGTCCAGGTCGTGCGGTGAGCCGGTTTTTCGATTATTGGGTGGGTTGAAGTGGTGGTGGCGGCGGCGGCCCGCGTTCCCGTAGTGGCTAAGTTGTACACGTATCCAGTCAGTGTGCTTTTAGCCATTGTTATTAATATAATAATATTGTTATTAAGTAATAAGTAGTTCCTAATTCCTATTTTAAATTTTAATGGTTACTTCGATTTTTACGCGATATATCGATAATGTTCAGTCGCAAATGTACGTTTCCTATTTTAGTTATCATATGGCAATCATAACTACTATACCAATTGAGCAAAATGATAATCAATCATTAGAATAAAAAAAAATATAAAAAATATAATTTACATTGTTTCTTTACTTTCTTTATTATCCTCATTACCCCATTCTATCCATGCCTTACTTTCTTTTTCACTCACTCAGTGAGTACCGCTCAAAAGAAATTTAACTTCCCGCGCGCGTACTGGTAACACACACACGAGTTTTTTATATTAACATCTGTTTCAGAATTTACTAACCAATAATCTTCAAATTTTACTATCATTTTTGGTAAAATATTTTTACTTATATTGTGACTTGCAATTATATTTAATAACTTATTAGATCGTTTTTGCTTATTGATTTTGATTATTCTTTCAAAGCTTTTATCCCTGACTAGTAACATTAAAGCATTAATTGATAAATCTAATCGTTTACACTGTTTACCTTCAAGATAATAATATTCAATACTTTTATGCAATGTTTCTAAGTACATATTTGTATTAATTCCCAAATGTTTTCTGTTAAAAAATGCCCATTTTTCTACTCTTGTTGAATAGGTACTTCTGAAATATGTTTCAAAGTCTGCTGTATTAGCATCACTAGCAAGTTGATTCATAAGCTGTGAAAGTCCTACTGAAAAAAAATTTTCATCTGTTTCGTACAAGAGTGCTTTAAGAGTTTTAAAAACAATAGTTTTTTTGTCATGTGAGTGAATTTTATTTAAATTTTTTGACCAGTTTCTAAGAACATGCCATGTACTTAATAATTGTTTTTCAACAGATCCCATCACACAACTCCATGCATTATAAAACGCTGGTTCATCATCAGACATAAAAATTGATGGATTTATTATTCCTATTGTATTTTTAATACATTGAAAATAATGTTTATATGTAACTGTATCACATTTATTTGAAAAACAAAAAGCTACTGGAAATCCATTTCCATATTCATCCACAATAACTAGTGAGTATAATTGAAAATTATAACTATTTAATCCGTGAGTACCATCTATACAAATTTTATCTTTACCAAACTTCAAAAACATTTCTGATTGAAATTGTGTCATAATGATTAAACAAAAGTCATTTTTATTAAAATGTGGAACATTTTCGGGCGCGATACGATTGCGCGCGGTCCTTATCAGCGGTACCTTTTTAAGCGTACGATTGCGCGCGCTATATTATTTTAACTTTTAAGCAACGTTGCCAAATATATAGGATATAGGTCCATGGTAAATCCGTACGATACCATAGTAGATTATAGTAGATTATTTATTACTTATTTTTGCCGATATCAGACAAACTTCCCATCACTAAGAATGAATTGGTTATATTATTAAAAATATTATCTTTATTGTAAATGTCCATACATGTACGAATATACCTATACTATAATCGTGCATGATGTGACTACATCAATTAACTATCAGTTGTGTTCGGTGTTTGAATTGTGTCACAGTGTAAAATTTTGTGTTGATTTTTTAAAAATGGAAAACGAAATTCGACGTATTACATCGGAGAGGGGAAATGATTTGTTGCTAGTCAATGGGCACAAATTTAGGTGTATCAGGCAGCGGGCTGATGGATATGTAAGATGGAGGTGCTGTAAAAAACAGTGTACGTCCACAGTGTTGATGACGATTGATGATTTAATTATAGAAAATGCTAGTGAACATAACCATCCTGTTGATCCGATACAAAAAATTGATCGACAAGTGTTGAGAGAAAGTTGCAAGCGAAAAGCTATAAGTAATATATCTACCCGGCCAATAAAGTTCATAAGAAATGAACTTATGAATAGCGTAAGTACTGAATTAGAACATAAAGATTTAAAATCGGTTAGAAAGGCAATGTATATTGAACGAAGAAAAAATCTCCCTCCCTATCCAACATCTTCTGAAGATGCAATTACAAAAATAAATGAATTTCAAGATGCAGATTTTTTAATGTTTAGAGGGGAAAAGTTTGTACATTTACCCGAAGATTCTACTTTTATTTGTTTAACCACTAAAGAAAATCTTCAATGTCTGACCAGTTGTACCGATGTATTTACAGACGGAACATTCGAATATGCTCCAAAATTTTTTTTGCAATTATACACCATTCATGGTTATAAAAATGGCATTTACGCACATTTGGTGTATTTTTTTTTAAATGATAAATTTAAAAATACATATATTAATGTATGGAAGTATTTAATCAGTATATGTGAAAAACAATCACTTATTTTTAAAATTAAAATACTTCACATTGATTTTGAAATTGGTGCTATTGAAGCAGTAAAAGAAGTTTTTCAGGCTGTACAAATTAAAACATGCCGTTTTCACTTGGGACAAGCTTGGTGGCGCAAAGTAAGTTGAATCAAATAAAAATATTTTTAAAAATTACAATGTCAATAATCAAAATCAATTTTCAGATTAATGGTGAATCAAAATTAAGAACGGCATATAACGATAAAAATAACGATTTACAAATATGGCTCAAATCATTTTTGGGACTTTCTTTTATAGCTCCAGATGATGTCGAGGATGCTTTTGTCGAACTTATAAGTGTATGTCCAAATATTTCAGTTGGACAACTTTTTTCGGATTATGTTTTGGAAACGTATATTGAACCGGGTTGTAAATTTCCACCTATTTTATGGGCTGAAACACCATCATCAAATCCTAGGTAAATATTTACTAATAATAGTTTTTAAAAAAAATGTGTTAACTATAATATTATATTATTTATTTTTAGGACTACAAACGGGGCTGAAAGTTTCCATAGTACATATAATGCACAGTTTAATAGTGCTCATCCACCAATATTTGTCGTTATAGCTACCCTTATGGAAACTCAGACAGAAACAGTTACCAAATTATTAACCATTTCCAAAGGTATAATAAAACCAAAATCGAATGAAGAATCAAGGAAAATTGAAAATTTGAAAAATGAATACAAACATAATGTAAACAATAAAACACCAGAAAATTTACTAAAGTATTTGGCCATAGTTGGAAATAGGTATCGGGGGTTTAAAATTTAATTTAAATATTAATTTACGAGTATTATATTTTTTCAATTATTAAATTTCTTTATTTTGTATTATTTTTTATTATTTACGTAAATTTTTTAATTTTTTTTAAATAACATATTTTTAATATTATTAACTTTTTGTATTTTTATTATTTACGTAATACATTTGGCAACGTCGCACTCAATTTCACGCGCAATCGTACGCCTTTGAGTAATTAAAATGTTGTCTTTTGTTATTCTGGCACTGCGCGCAATCGTATACCTAAAAAGGTAAACCGCGCGCAATCGTACTCCGCCGACATTTTCATCATTTTCTCCTTGTTGCTTATAATATAAAATCGGATTATTTTCACCTTTCTTTTTCATATCTTCCACCCACAACCTCACACTGACAGCATCATTTTCATGTGATTTAGTATTATATGAAATATTATAGTCTCTTTTAGTATTGTGTAAATCTTTTTTTTCAATCAGATGAATCCTTTTGAGTTCTGTTCCAACTTCTAATCCTCGAATGTCATCTAATATTCGATTGACTGGTACACCAATTGCCAACTTTCCTGAAAGACGAAGAATGATATACCAAATCTTTATCTTCAACTCCAGATTTCCATTTATTAAATTCTTTTAAAAATTTAAATAAATATCTTATATTGGAAAGTTATAAAAATAATGTTATAATAATAAATATACATGTACCTTCAATTGTGTTAAAATGTAATTTATTGCGGCCTATGTTTACTTTGTGGATAGTTTCAAGATGATTACTATACATCTTAAATGTTTTAAATACTTTGTTGCAATTTTCAAAAGAACATACTTGTTTATAAATTTGTGTCAGCTGCATCTCATTTTTTAAGTGATTTATCAAAAGTTTTTTATTATAAAATAATGTGTCACAGTTATTACATGTATAAGTACATTTTTCAAATTTCACATGCTTTGTTCTAATATGTTTGTTATAACCTGATTTTGAATTATATTGAAGTTCACAAACTTTACAAATAAACATATTAAGAGGATGTCAAATATAGTATTTAAAAAAATAATAAAATATATTAATGTAATTTGTAAGACCAACTTTTTTGTATTTAAACATTACTTATCTAACTATAAATAGAATAAATTTTCCAGAAGTGGTGTTTTCAAAGGGAAGGGAGATAAACTTTATTTTATTAGTGGTTATACATACAAATAAAAATAAAATTAAAAAAAAAACATTGCTTTTAAAACTTAAATGTTATTTATTGATTATTATTTTAATAAGTCACAAACATTTTTTTTTTTTTTTACATATGTTAGAAAAATATACAATCTCCATACATTTTATACAATAAGCAATTGAGCGTAGAAATAAAATTACAAGATATGAATGCTAAGGGGAGTAGTCACCCAGCAGTTACTCTAATACAATAAAATAATAAAAGTAAAAAATATTTTGTCAGAAATGAGAGTGAAATTTTACAATTATTGGACAGTAAATTCTGATACATATAATAATAAAAATTAAGTAGAGAAGACTTGAAAAAAAAATTACAATATCCTCTGCTAAAAAATTAATTATTAACAAATTTTTAAAATATGGTTAATAATCTTTTTAATTATTTTATACATGTATAGTCTTGATGTAATATCATGGCTTTGATTATATACATGTATATTTGAATGCCGATTACACTAAAATATACTAATATTTTATTAAATAGTTCTGTAGCAATAACCAAATGTTTTACTTAATAGTCAATATGAGTATATGACTAATAATAATGAGTTATTATGTATTATAATCATTAAAATAAGCAATTGATAATAGTGAAAAATAGTATTTGATAAGAATAATATTGATAACACTAACTATGATAATGTTAATGTGACGTCATGGATCCGGAGTTTTTTCCTGCGAAGATCCATTCGTTCGGTGGCGGATCAGGAGGTTATAATATACATCACGTACGAAGCGGTTCGCGGTGTATGAGGATGCGGGTGGTGGGATGAGGGATGAGGATGAGGTTTTAGAATCGGCTAAAATATACTAATATAATAATATTAATATCCTATATTTCGTTTTAGTATTAAGTAGTAAGACGTACTAAGTAGGTACTAACAGTGTTAATGAGATATTTTTTTCCAATGGCCCTTCAACTATATAACTTTGTACCAACAGTGGATGATCTGGGTGCAGATATCCAACCGCAATCTTATAATATAAAACCAAAACCAGCTTCCCGAAAAATCCGCCAGAACGCGGGCACTTTAGTGTCCCGACCAATCGAAAAATTCCGTTTTTTTTCTTCCAGTCGTCGTGTCCCGTATCTCCCCGTCGTTATCGTTTCTCCAACGGCCGTCGTTATCGTTTCTCCAACAGCCGTCGTTATCGGTTCGGTTATCGCTCATTTGCTCATCACTCATTATTATTGTTTTTGTATACCGTTTTTTCCGCTTTTCGCCCGGTTTTCCGGCCTTTCGAGACCTCTTTCCGTCGCGTTCTCGACGCTGTAGCCCGGAGCGGGTCTTTTTCGTCCGGTCCGCGCGTCTCCGGATTTCGTTCGCGTCCGGAAAACGCGTTCTCCGGTCGGTCGTCGTATCGTCAATACTGTTTTTTTTTTTTTACGATACGATAAATCGTTTATCCGTATCGATTACGCGTTTTTTTGTTTTCGGTGTCTCCGCAACCTTATCGTCTCGATAGCGTACGAAATACGATTATATATGTGTATATATATATATAATAATAATATCATATAAAAAAGAAACGTGCGTACCGTTGTTGACGTACGTCAGATCGTGTTTATTATATACAAAAAAATCGCAAAATCGTTGCTCTTCAGTCGTCGTAATGCCTTTAATCGCATACCTTTTGGGGGGGATATCGTGATATGTGTATGTGATGATAAACTCGGTACGTCGTTGAGACGTATACGATTAAAAAATGTAAACGAATACGTCGGAAACGTTCTAAACGACAATAAATATGCGATTTACGGTATCGTGACACGCGAATCGTAAAAATTGTACGGGTCAAACGACGTATAATGTAGCATTCGTCGAATCTCTAAAACGGTTTAAGTGCTCGAGATTCGGTTACGGTTTTCAACTCGAGCGGTAGTCGATAGGTGTTAGGTTAGGTCCCCCGACGTTAGGTAGGCAGGTTCGAATCCCGGTCCGGCGCATTCCGGGCGGCCCCATAAGAAACTACACGTACGGGATTTTTTGCATTTTTTTTTTCATTTAATTCGATCATTATTAATTGCTATTTTCGTTTTGATATGCCATTACTACTCATATAATATTTTTCAAATCTTAAAAACGATTTTTGATCTCACACATTACATTTAATACTGCTTGATTGATGGTGACAAAATATATTATATTATAATATACTTTACACGAACGTTAAATTACACAATAGTATTCAATTAAACCAATTATAGTTATTGCTAACAGTATGCACAATTCAAATGTACATATTATGTGATATGCAATTTATATTATAGCCTGAGAACATTCTATTGATGACGATACAGTTGTATCACTCGGTTTTTTGACGGTGAATTCACTATTTTATATGTTTAGCCTTTCAGTCGCTTACATTTGAAAGATACAGGGGAAAAACAGTAGCAAATTTTTTTTCTTTTGATTTTTAAAATATTTTGTCATCACAGAAAGCGCATATTATTTCTTTTCGATATCTAACCATCTATAAAATATGAAAAAAAATATTAATTATATATAGTTTTTTTGATTTTCAACTAGCTAACGTTTGACATGCGTTTTCCATAATGCGTTTAACATCTCTCCTTTACGCCCACGTCGTCCGCGATCCGACGCAGTCGGATCGCCTACCTGGGAGGTTCAAACGCGTTTAATTGGATTTTCAGTGGTGATCGCTTGAAAAATCGAGCGCTCGATTCGACTTAAACTTTTTTGCGTACTAAACAGCACAACGCTTTCGACGTCAGGAGGTATGACAATCCGCCACAGCCGGATTGCCCTGTCAGGTATCGATATTCGATGGGCGATGACTGATAACTAGACACTTAATAACCCTTTCGGAGTGTATTTATTTATTTTCCATACTCAAAAGCATCGGGCGAGCCACGGGAAATTCATCCAATCCGCCGAAATCGGATTGCCCTTTCAGCAGGTATCGACTTCACCGTACGGGCGATGACTGATACCTAGACACTCGATTGCCGTTTTCGTAACAAGCTACGGGACGAGGTTCTCCGACGTTAGGTAGGCAGGTTCGAAACACGTTCCCGCGAAATCCGGGCTGTACGATAACTGACTAAGTATTTTTTTTTTTAATTTTAAAATTTTGTGTTAATTAATTGTAATTTCTGTTATCAAAAAAATGATTGAATATATATAGTTTTTTGATCTTCGACTCACTATTTACCACGACTCGCTAACGTTTGACATGTATTTTCATTAATATGTTTAAAATTTCCACTTTGTGCTCACATCGTCCGCGATTCGACGCAGTCGGATCGCCTACCTGGGAGGTTCAAACGCGTTTAACTGGATTTTCAGTGGTGATCGCTTGACAAATCGAGCGCTCGATTCGACTTAAACTTTTTTGCGTACTAAACAGCACAACGCCTTCGACGTCAGGAGGTATGACAATCCGCCGCAGACGGATTGCCCTGTCAGACATCGATATTCACTGGACGATGACTGATAACTAGACACTTGATCAACCTTTCGGAGTGTATATTTATTTATTTTCCATGCACAAAATCACAGGGCAAGCTACGCGGATTGCTCAGTCGAGTAACGACAAGCACCGGGTAATGACTGATAGCTAGACATTTAATTACCATTTCGGAATGTATTTATTTATTTTCCATGCACAAAAGCACAGGGCAAGCTACGGGACAAGGTGTATTACTCCTGTGAATTTAATGAAATGACTGACCACTAGATGCTCGAATTAGACTTATTATTTACGCGTTTAAAACGACACCGCCAAAGTGTAGAGCCACCAAATCAGAGGTACCAACATCTCAT